ACAGGGGGTCGTCACGACATACATTTTGAAATTTGACAGTTAAAAAATCATTAAATCTTTTGCATTTGCCAGTAGAGGCCTGATACGATTGTGAGCCTGAGTTTAAATTATAACCGTGGTAATAAACCAGTGGAACCCGAAAGAGACTACTAAGTGTTCCTGACACATGGCAGGAATTGGCAAAATTCATGTAAGCTTGTTGCTGCTTATCGCTAAGAAGTTGAAGGTCAGCAAGGTGTAGTGCGTGGCTATAAGAAAGATCAGGGAAGACAATATAGAGAGCTTTCCTCTGGACTAGCTCTAAAAGGTTACTTAAGTAGGCTGGAAGTGCCACCCATACAGGGGACGCATATTCGAGCACAGAGGGAATCGTACTGCAATATACAGATACTAATTGGGAAGGTGAAAGTCTGCTTTTCTTAAGAATCCTCAACCCATAGAGATGTTTGGAAGCTTTATCGTATATGTACTCACAATGTGCATTCCATGAAAGGTCATCAGAAACTATGACACCCAGCAGTTTGTACTGGGATACCCTTTCAATTAGGGTGCCCCTTTAGTAGAGGGTTGGAACAAGTTGATTTATACTGGAGAAGGTCAACAACCATCTCTTTACACTTCTTAGGGTTTAGTTTCATATTGTGCTCTAGGGAGCACTTATTTACATTAGAGGTGATGATGGGCAGATAACTATTGGAGTTCCTGGGAATAAGTTCCAAGATGGTAAGGTCATCAAGGCACTTCAGATGAGTACACCATTCACTGGCCAGCCTATTCACAAGTATAGTGAAGAGAAGGGGAGCCATGCACGTACCTTGTGTGATGCCACCACAAGGTGAGATGGCCGAGGACAGTTGACCATTAATCCTAACACGCTGCAGCGGGCCAACTAAAAAGGCACCAACCCAATGGACAATGGCTTCATGAACACCAAGCACCTCCAACTCGTGCAGCAAAGCCCTGTGGTCAACGAGATCGAACTCCTTACTAAAATCAGTAAGCAGGATCTTAGCGTACATACCCTCCCTGTCGAGTGATTTGACAAGGAGCAATGAAAGACCTGACGTGCATATTCTAGGACTGATCTAATAATGCCACTATAAAATCTAACAAGATCATTGGGAGCAATACCCGCGTGCTTAAGTTGTCTAAAGAGATAGTCTCTTGGCAACCTTAGTGGTGATTGAGTCAATATGTGCAGACCATTTGAGGTCACTGCTTGTGATAATGCCAAGAACTTTAGCTGAAGATACCATTCAAAATCGACCCCTTCTATGGACACTTGTGAGAAGCAAGGGGGAGTGCGCTTGAAGCATGTGTGGATCTCCTTGCATTTGGTTGGATTTAGCTGTAGATGATTTTCCCGAGAGCAATTGTGGATGTAATCAGCCGCTTGCTGAAGTGAGCTGTGCTTGGAGGCAGGAATGACTTCAGAGACCATTGTGTCATCGACTAATTTCCACATGTGTAACCCTTCTGGGAGACGGAGATCATTTATCATCGCCAGAAATAATTAATTGCCGGTATGTTTTATTTCAAGGCAGGTACTGCATCAATTTAGGCTAATGTATATTTACATGATTGTATGGCACAGAACTTGCCAAGTACATTATTAACGATGTATGATAACCTGTCACTAAAATTTAGGTGAAAGTAATATTTTGAGAAAAAGAAACTCTTTGATGAAAAGGGTGGGTTAATTTCTCAATATTATTAAATTTTTTATCTTGTTGACTATCAAGCAAATGGTAAAAAGGGAATACAACTTACCACTTGAATCACTCCTACCTGGGGTCACCTAAAAGGGAATTATTTAGAGAGAATTAACTGATATTACTTTTGATGACACACAAATGGGGCCATTTTTGTTCTTTGGAAAAGGTTCTTTGATTCAATCTTTGTTGTAACTGTTGTTTGTATTTCAAAGTGTTTGAATTTTTTGATACTTTTAAGTCTATCAAAAGTCATTGGCTCTACCACAAGTGAGGACCACCATTTACCTCTACTTAAACCAACACATGTGATGCCCAATGTTTGTTCAGACTTTCTAGTATCCATAATGCAGTGGTTTTGTCACCTCTCACTTTCTTCC